CCAAAAATGTACCACTAAAAATACCTAATAAAAATCCACCCTTCCGCGACATTGCGAAGGTATAAAAAAAAAAAAAATAAAAAATAAAATAAAAAAAAAAAATTTTGCATAGCCTAAAATTATATATTTTTGTGTAACAATTTACAATTTTCAATTAAAATAATACCTGATATTAATCTTCATGGCGTAACATGTTCTAAATTATTTGAAGATTCTTCGATTAAAGTTTTAAGACGAGCTTGAATAGCTTCCGGTACATGATATGGTGAAGGTGGTGAATGAGTATGTTCTCCTATACAAACTAATACTACAAAAGGACATTCTAACAAATTAAGAGGCGTAAATTGATAAAATTTAACTTCATATTGCATGTTTTCTAATTGAGCTTCAAATGGCTGATTATTGTCATCAAGATGAGGAAATGCTTGTATAAATTTAAATTTATTATATTAAAATAACTATATATTAAAAAAAATTTTTTTATTTAAATATACTAATATACTTACAACTAATTTTTTTTTGTGTTATATTAGGTAAGATGGTACAACATCAATCTTCAATTAATGATTGATCAATTGATTCACCATCCAGAAGATGTCGAATAAGGTTAATATCACATGACTCAGATATTGGAGTAAACCGATGCCAATTATCTCCATTAGACCAAAAACTACAACCAATAAAGTAACTATTTTTACACTGCAATATTTGTAATACACAATTATTGTGTTGATTTTGATTATTTCTACATTGTACTAAAGTATTTTGTTTAATTTTCTTAAAACAGGTAAACCAGCACATGATGAACCATCGGATAAAGTTTTTAGGCATGATTTTTTCATTATAGCAAAATAAAATCTTAAACAAAAAATTATTAGAATATATGTAATTAAAATATTTTATAATATAAGTTATTTATATTTCGAAATAGATGAAAATAGAAAATAAAATTTTCTTTTGAAGTACATTTGTATATTCAACACTTGATTGCCTTAGCATATTAGGGGGTTTCATAATTAATATATTAAGAAAATAAGTGGGAGGTTAAAAGATCTTACATCTATTTTTAAAATTCTGACTCAGTAAATTAAATAGGACAAATATCTACTGGTAAACAATTAAGTAAATAAGTTTATACGTTAAAAAAATAGAATTTACAAATCACTTCTTTTGATGTAAATACGTCTCTCATTTTATCAAAAATTGGATACCAAACTATTAATTTTGAACCTCCTTTGATCAAAAATTAATGCCCGATTTTATATAATTGTTTTCAATTCGGAAACAATTACAGTGTTCGAGTATGCAAGTATACTTCGAATAAAAATTTTATTTGCTATTTTCATCCATTTTGAAAATCATGATAAATTATAAAATTATACATACGCAATTGTATTTGTATAGATAGATCTATTTGATGATCCATTTTTAATTATTTTAAAAATATCCGAATCATAATCAACATTACAGTGCTTTGTCGATCTAAGTTGATTATCGATATGAGGACAAACTGTAACCCCTTGGCACTTTCTTTGGTCTTTAGTAACGTCAATGTTACCAAAAAAAGGACATTTAACTTTTGCTTGACCGCCAGTACCTAAACTATACTGGATCAAAACATATATATATATATATACAGTATTAATAGATACTATATATACAATTAATAGTATATTTTTTTATTTAAATTATAATACTTGCATCACGAAATACAGTATGTGCTTTTTTTTTAGATCTTCTTGAATTTGAGCCGTATTTAGTACTTGATTACTACCATTATTATAATCTTCAAGATTAAGCACATTATATATAGTAGCAAAACTCGAGGGTCCTTTGTCATTTTGCGGGCTAGTTGAAGGATATTCAACCGAAACAGTAGAGTAATATATATTGTCAGCTTTAACAGCTAGATGTGTTGTAAAATAAGCAATGGTTTCTTCAATATTTTCAGTTTCTCCAATATCTTCAATTTCTTCAATGTCATCAACGATTTCTATAATATTTTCATTAGGGTTGGACTAAAATTAAATAGATTAATTTATGTTATATAAACTTTCTAATATATTAATCTACTGTATATTCAAAACTGTTTTATACATATCCGTTTAGATGTCATATAATACATACTATTTGTTCGATATCGAATTCAATTTCTTCTTCAGAAAAGATTTCCATTGTTTGATTTTTTTTTTTTTTACGAAATCAGTTAGATCATAATATAAATGATTTTTTTGCGTTACAAACAACAGCATGACTAAAAAATATTAAAAACTTATTGAAGTTAGTATGTATCAATTTAGTTATAGTCATAGATACGTACGTATAGCATGAATATTTTGAATTTGTACCAAAACAAGAAATTTTGCATACATTGTATTAAACTTTATGCATTTAGCCTGGTTAAAACTTGAAATCTGAAATTTTAAAATTCTTAGTGCTAAGTAGTGATTAGGTCAATGAAATTGTCCACAAAAAAAACTTTCCTCCAGACGACAATTTAACCCAAGCCAAAACTGAAATAATTGCTTCATTAGAGCAAAAAGTAACCGCTATTAACATTAAAGATGACACCTTTTGACAAGAATTAAAAATTAATCATCACTTAAAGGCCAGAGAAAATAAATTAAAGGAATATATTAGTAGGGCCAATACTCTGGCGGAACTAGAAGAAAGAGAAAAAATATTTTGGCTGTTATTGAAAAGTTAATTGAGGGAATTCCACCTTCTCAAATTAACCACATATTAAAAGTCGGTAGTATATAAGAATCCGAAATATAATTTAACAAAGATTTTTAATATTTTGGTAAAATGTAAAACTATTAATCACGATATTTCATTAAAATTAAAATAAAGTTCACTATTATTTACTATTAATAATGAAAGTATTTGAGATTAACCCAAAACTAGCGATATTGGATAAAATAATTTTATATAAATGCGAAAAATAAAATCTAAGGCCAGAGAAAAAAGAAAAATGAGATCCTCTGACAAAATAATTAAACCTGTCAAAAGGTGAAATCTCTGGTAAAGACGAGACCATTTGTTTAAGGCATAAAGTCTAAAGGCAGGACCTAAACTTTGTCAAAAGACAAAACCCTGATAATAGCTAAGCTATATATTAATAAATTACAATGTTTGTATTGTGGTTAAGTTGTGGCTTATATTGAAGAAATATATAAACCAACTTTGTTTTACCAATAAAATAAACGAAGCTTATTAAATTTATGATTTACTGAACTTAACTCATAAGCGAAGTATACATAATCAAATATGCCACTGATCAGATTTAAAGGCCGTTAGACAAATGCTCAAACTTAATATAAATTTTAGATTCTTTTAGTAATGCTTATCTATGAATTATTAGACAAAGCGATTTGGTTTAAGCCTCAAATATTTAATTTAAATAAACTTTAGAAAACTTGAGGCTTTTATTTTGTATTTAATAATATTGATTGAATCCACTTGAATCCAAAAACTTTTATTTTTCTGTAATTTACCTACTAAAGTTATGTGCGATTACGAAATTCCAAATTATAATGTTGACGCAATTTCTTTGTTGAGCAAAAAAAAGGATAATCAATGAACATCGTAACTAATCTAATTAGGTAATTGACAGGGGAAATGTTTATAAAAGGATTTTCATCTGATTGGTTGATGTAAATCAATTACCCGGGTAATTTATTTATACTCTTTAGAGTACTTGTTAAGAACATGACGTTTACTAATTAAAAATCGCCGTAAAAGTCATTCTTGGTTTTAAATGAATGTTAACATTCATTATACAAATGAATCTAAAAAGAATCCACCTCCTGACTAGTGATGCCGTAGAATTGTCGTAACTAGTGTCATGGTGATTTACAGTATGCGATGAACTTGTATGGGAATGAAGGTAAAATGAACGAGCGATCATTAT